TTTCCATAGTTTGAACCTAGTCCACTTACTTCTAATCTCTTTGAAACGACCTCGGCTTCCATCATTTCTGAGCTTAGCAAGGTTTGAAGAGGCCCTCTCTCATAGATTATGTTTTTAAACCACTGGACAGTTGGACCGTTCAGTTTAGGAACCGTCCAACTGATTCCATTTTATCCTAAACCCGGTTCTTGGTAAAAAATCATTGAATTGGTTGATAACTTGTTGATTCGGGTAGTCAAACTGTCGATTCGTTCATAAATTTTGATCATTTTTTTATTTTAATTATTTTGTCAGAATGAACCATCCATTTGAACTAGATGGTCGAATCATCAACCCAGAAATCGATGGCTAAAACAGTTCCGGTTCCTGATTGGATTTTAAAACATTGCTCATAGATATAAAAGACAAGTAGGGATATTTCTTTGTAAATTGAAAGATTAGGTGCTGCTTTGGCAAACAAAACAATGAAACATCCAAGGTTGGTCTTGTTGTTGGGTGTTTTATGGGCCTGTGGCTTGTGCAGCTAGAATTTCTTTGTTGCCTAGCTCCATCTGTCTGCAGTGCAAACTTATTTACATTATTAAATACAAATGTATTAGAGTGCAAATTCTGATTTATGTTTGTATGTTTTACTATTTTTCAAGCTTTACTTCATGTTCATTTTTGCATTGTAAATGATTGAAACAAAGTAGAACCTAAAACAAATGTAACCTTTCATATATAAATGAAATTACACTGCAATCAAAATAGTTCTTGGGATTTTGGTTTTCATTAACCAAGATATCCATATTTGTTTTTTCAAATTTATGTGGGATTCGTGGAAAATTTATTTTCTTAGGGTATATTCATTTCTTAGGTGGGCAATTAATTTTCTCACATCGGAGGAAAGTTGTCAACACTTTGATGGGTCAAAATTAACACTTTTAATAATGAGCTTTTTATGGCTAAAATGATCATTTTCTTATTTAACTGAAAAATAAGAGAACATGAATAAATACACTTAACCAGGTAAGTGTTTCCTGTAAAATACTTGGATAAGTAACTTCCCAAAAAATAAATGGGGTTTTAATGTTCTTACTTGGATAAATAATTTGTAGACGGACCAGGTTCGGTCTAATAAATATTTTAGACTGGATTGGTCTAATCCAATATGTCTTGTTGGTCCATCCAATCTGTCCAAATTGATTTTGGAGGCATCATATTCATCAGAGTTCTTATTATTATTTCTTTTTTGCTATCACATACTTCTTATTTAATTTTATCAAGGGGCTGTTTGACAAGGGTCAAGGGTTGAACATTGAAGTACCTGTACTAAATGACTTATTGTTTCATTGTTTGTACCTTTGTCTTTTAATAGATAGAATAACATAATAAAGTATTTCTAAGTATAGTAATCAACCCAGTTTTCAACTTGGGGTTCTTACCATTCAGTCCGCCCTTAGGTGGAGCTATTAATAAATTAGGGGTGGACTAGATCCTGCCTGTGGATTGATGCCAAATTCAAGGGCAGGATGTGGTTTATGGGGGGG